TTTTCCCCAACGTTTTCCATGTATGGCTCCTTCTCATCCAGCAGCTTTCAGCTGAGGCCTTCCCTGACCCGCATCTGCCTCATCAGGCTTCTCTTCAACTCGCCTCCGTCCTCTCCAACACGACCCACTATCCGTAATTATTTATCTACGTACTGATTGCTCATCTGCCCGCCCACCATGGAAGCTCCCTGACAGCAGGGGCTGTGACTGGTCCTCCACTTTACTACCAGAGCGTGACACAGAACCTGGTACCTAGTGACAGCTCAAAAAATATCTGTTGAATGAATGAGTAAATAATAAAGGCATGAATCAGGAGAATCAGTACTGTTGAACCCCCAAAACCAGGTCCCAATGGGCCCAGATTTCTTAAAGACAGAAGCAACACCCTCCCCTTGGGTGAAGTGAGCCCTGCGTCACGCCCACGTCAGGATGTCCCTTCATGCACACTGTCTTCACCTATTAATCCACAGCGGTCTTTTTACTGACCACCTTTCTCTCTGGAAATGACCCAGGGCGACTTGGCTCAGAAAACTAGAACTCCACCCTGGACTGGAGCCAAGGTCACAGACTCACATTTGAGGGGCTGGGTGGAGGGGCCCTGACGGCCCCTGCAGTGCTCTATCTCTGGCCATAAGCCTGGTTCTTCAGAGGAACAAAAACAGGAAGGGAGCAGAGGCCTCCAGGGTCCTGCCACTGTCCCAGGAGTGTAGGTGAACCCTGTCCAATCTAAGACCCAAGACAGGGAGTAAACAGCAGGTGGGTCAGGGCTCAGAGTTTGGGGAAAGACACCTCCACTCCCTGCTCTGAACTCAGACAAATGACTAGCTTCAAACCCTGACTCCGACATCTACATTTCTAAAGGTCACGCGATGCTTTGTAGTCTGAGCCTCGGTTTCCATAGCTGTCAAGATGGATATCACAATTACTGCTTTAAGGGGATGGCTGGGTACTTTGCCTCCAGATGTTATGTCTGGCTGCATCGATCCACCCTTCGATCTCCCAGGATGAACCCCATATGGAAAAAATACAACCAGGTATCAATCACACTCAGTGACTTTCCCCCAGAAAATGTGGGTTTCCCAGACCGTTTTAAGGCTGAGCCATACAAATTGATTCACATTTTTTTAACTCTGTTATTAAGAAGGCCAAGCTGACTCCTGAATTTAACGGATGTATATCCACAGCAGCCATTCAATCCGTCTTTTTCAAGGAATGAATCAAACAACAACATGAGTTGTGTCTGTATTGATCCTAGTGATCGAGTCTGATAAACTAAAACTGTTTTTCACAATCGGTGCATGTCGCCAGGCACTAATTCACGTCATCCTTTGATATAGCAGACAGACATGTGGCAAGAAAACAGATTTAGACATTATAAGGCTCAGGACTTTGATATGCATGTTCACTAAGGATGGAGGCCAAGGGGAAATTGTATAAGTGGAGTATTAAACATCCTTATTTCTTTTGGAGATTATCTGTCAGTTCCCCAGGGTTTATACTTTCAGAAACCAAAAGGGCTTTTCAAAGTAGAACAACTCCTCAGTGGAAAAAAAAGAAAGAAAGAAAGAAAATTAAACAATTTTCATTCCATATGCTGGCTGTCACCAAATTTTGCAAGGCTAGTTAGCAGAAGCATTCCTCTTTTAGTCTTGCCCCATCAATACTAAACAAGGAAAAACATTGCCTAACACAAATTTGGCAAAGGAATCTGAGGAAACCTGTCAGTTCTGTGTCACATCATCCCTGAAGGCTCCTGGTGACTGTATGATTATCTGTCCTACCTCAGCCTTCGCATGCAAAACATGGTTTCTTGTAGCTCACACATGCTTGTCGCCCAAAGCATCTCAGGACAAGAAAGGACTCTAACCCGCAGAGTCCCACAGGTGCCTTTAGTCAAGGAAAATACACCGACTAAAGCGAACCCGCAGAAAAGAAAATGAAGAGCTAGCTATTCCCGTTGCAAAAGACGTGCCCTAGAGTCTTTCTTTTATTTATTTATTTTTTTTATTAACTACATTTAACAGATGGAAAAACTGAGACTTGGAGAGGTTGAGGAATTTCATCAATTTAACACAGAAGAGGTGGAGCCAAGGGATTGGATTTAATTGTAAATCCTCTACAATGGATTTAATTTAAGAAAATGTGACTAGCACACAATTTGGCAAGTGGCCTTGACTAGGCAGTGTGAGATGCCTGACTAAGGGGCGGGATAAATGTGATGTGCTCACAAAGTATAGCGCGTGTGCAGAGAGTTCAGGTCTTAAGTCAGAAGGTCTGGATCCTAGTCCTAGCTGAGTCATTAATGAGCTGTGGGACCTAGGCAAGTCATTTAACTTCTTTGATTCTAGTTTCTTTACCCAGAGATGGAGAATTATTGATAAAAGTGAGCCGTACCTACTTCCCAGGGTTACTGGCGGAATGAAATGAATGTGAAAGCTGTTGCAAAATATGAAGGCATATCCAGAAGTCAGGTAACGCTTGTATGCACACACGTATGAAAATAAGAGCTGCCCAGAAAATTACCAGCATCCATTCTTGCTCAAACTCAATGTATTTCCTCTTACTAAGAAGGGAATCCATTGGGATGCGAGACATTTCTGTGAATCAGGATGAGTACACAGCTCTTGTAGAATGTGCACTGCTGTTTTGGGACATGCGACCCACTCTGTCACAGCCAGCTGTGTTTTGGTGCCCTAGGACAGTCACACAGGCCCTAGGACAGTCACACAGGCCTATTACTTCATGTTTACCAGACATGGACAAGGTGCTAGGAGTCCCCAGAACACTAAACAAATTGTGAACTGGCAAAAGGAACTACCAACCTACAGGACAACAGATGTGGCCAAGTGTGACAAATGTGATGGGGATAGAGGTCACCTTCCCAGTTACTTCCAGGTGCTCCCTTCTACACCCTACTGGGTTTCGGTAAGCTCTTCTAGCACTCTCGCCTGAGGCCAGCTATTAAATGTCTTCAACAAATCATTCCTCTAGGAAATCCAAAGAAGAAACATCAGGACCAATCCGAACTCCACACCGGACAAGAGTTGCCAGCGCTCCCCTTTCATGCCCCTGCCTGCCACGGGCCATGCTGCAGAGTGCACTCACTCTGAGGCCGGCAGCGTCCTGCTCTCTCTCTCTCCCATTTTCACATTCATCTGTTCTAGAAGCTGAATAAGCCCCTCTACCTGACTGGCAAGAACATCATATGGTTGAATAACTACAGGGATGGTCAAAACAATCCAAAAAAAAAAAAATCCAAAAAAACCCAGTACCTAGAAAGCTCTGATGGATTCACGGACTGTGCCAGAAAAGCCAGTACTGGGGAAGGCACTGCACAGAGCACAGGGAGAGCTGACTGCCTGACAGAAAGGACAATGGGGCTCAAACTGTAGTGTAATCAGAACCACCCGGAGCGGGTGAGAAAACCCAGAAACCCAGGGTTTCTGCGTCAGTCGCCGATGCCGGTGCTGGTCCAGAGACCACATTTGAAGCATCCCTGTCACAGTAAACAGGCCAGAGCTGCCCAGTCTGTCATTTTCACTGGGGCAACTTCAGATCCCGATGCAACCCCTCCATGCCGCACCAAGTGAACCTTAAGGAAAGTCATGATGGGAATTAAGCAGCTACCTCTCCCCTCCTCCCCTGCCTTCCCCCATACATACACCCACGCTGCTATGGATGAAGAGAACAATTATCACTCCAATCCTGATGAATACCTCCCAGGGCTGAGTCCAGTTCTCACCTGTGCACATGATTCTGCAAAAGGAGTGCGTTATGGTGCAAAACGGAGGAGAGGGCAGTGCTGGAAGAGTGCTCAGGGGCTCCCCAGGTCCAGTTTTCTGAGCTGGACACTGTCCCTCAATCCTCAGTGACAAGACATGCCCCTGGGATGGTGCCAGTCAAACACTGTGACCTGGTTTTCTCTTCACCCACTTATCTTAATACTCTGCCACCTGTACTGTGATTCCCGGTGCCCCCATCACCACCACCTCACTTTATGTCACCAAACTGCTACCCGTCCAGCCTTGCCAACAGCCCAGTACAAAGAAAGCAGCAAGTGGCGAGAAGCAGCCTCCACCTCTGGAGGGTGGTAGGGCAAAGCCCCTCAATATCAGGATCAGAGGGGACCGTTAAAAATCCCCCTTTCCTTCCCAACGCTGATTACATTATACAAAACACCATTTAACTAACAGCAGCAGTGACCGCTACAATATCATTTTGTTTTATGGGGGGCAAGTGGGGGGTAGCGGAAGTTCCTACAGAGAGCAGTGTTGTGACTAATGTAAACACTGTGATCAGAGCCTATCCTACAAGTCTCTTCTCCTGTGGTTCGAATGGGAAACTCTGGCCAGTGTTCACCACACACCAGCTTGACCTTTTCTGGCTATGGGACAGAAGAGGTTACACACATTTGGAGCTGCAATTGTGGGCCTGAAAACCAACTTCGGGCTAAATAAGGAAAAAGAATGAAGAGTGATTCATTCACAGCATATGGGTAAATATACAGCGTATGTATTTGCAAATACCTGATCTTTAAGATGATTTTGTGCATACAAAGAGGCATATTGGTGAAACGAATGTGATTTTCCCACTCATTAAGACAAAAAAAATCCTATTAGCTCTTTCTCACATGCAAAACTGTGCAACAGTTCCCAGGCTCCGGGGGCCTTAGGTGGTGTAGACCCATGAAGTCTTGTGAGTCAAACAACATTCTCCAAAGCAGTAACGCCAACACAATCTCCACTTGTCCCCCAATTATGAATCAATCTCAGGTATACCACATTCAATATATGGGCCACAAGCCCAGGCAGCTGTATTTGGAAAATTCTGGAGAAGGTGAGCTCAGCTGCAGGTGACAATACTGGCTGGGGCCTCAGAACACAGATTAAATACTCTTGCCCTCTCCCTAGCCCTCAAAAAGTCCACTCATTTGCATGCACAGATGAGGCCACGCAAGAGCTGCCTTCATACCCAATACCCTCGGTGGTTCCTGCTCTCACCTGTTTTCCAGGAGCGTCATGCACACCACCTCTCGTACTCCTGGGTTGTTGGCCTTCTCCACAGAACAGCCCTGCAAGTTCCAGGTGGCCAACCTCAGCACAGGCCGCCCATCTCGCGTGCCTCCAAACGCCTCCACTGAAGGTCGAGTGGAGATAATCTGCGTGGGCCCCCCTGGTGGCAGATCCAGGTCCTCACTCTGCAGGCTCAACGAAGTGGGGCTGGGGTGAGGCTTGGCGGTGAAGGTCAGGCCCCCGTTGGTGTGGGTGGACGGGGGCCTGGACCTCTCAGCAAACACCTGGTGCCGTATCCTGTCCAGGAAGGCGGCATTGATGCCGCCCATCCTCACCAGGTCCTCGACACTGCGAAAGGGCCCATGTTCACGGCGATAGTCCACGATGCTGACAGCCATCTTCTCCGTGAGGCCTCGGATGCTCATGAGCTGAGCTGGGGTGGCCGTGTTGATGTTGACCCGCGGGGTGAGAGGCACTGTGGTGGTGGACAGGTGGTGAGGCTGCTGCTCGGCCAGGAGGTCCCGCCGCAGGGAGCTGGGAGAGTGCTGCGCCGAGCTGCCCTTGCTACTCACGCATATCTCGAATTTGACCTGCTCCAGCTTGGTGGCACCCACGCCACTGACAAGTGCCAGGTCCTCCACCTTCTTGAAGCCACCGATGTACTCGCGGTACTCCACGATGCTGCGTGCCACCGCACGCGTCACCCCAGGTAGGGTCATCAGCTCCTCCTCCGTGGCAGTGTTAATGTTCAGCCGCTCCTGGTTCACCAGGATGTTGCTGAAGTTGCAGGCCGCGCTGAATTTGCGGCTATGGGACAGGTCTGAGGGGTCCCGGGGAATGGAGCGGTGACAGCCCAGGGTGCTCCCCATGACCAGCCAGGCTCAGGGCCCAGGAAGGCCTCACTACTGCAGTAGAACTCTGGCTAGGGAGGAGAAGCCCAGTAGACCTTACAGGCACAAAAGAAGGGAAGGTGCAGGATTTGGGGGATGAACTGGTTACCACAAACACTAGATCGCCATGCCCAGACGGTCCGAAAGTACCTTTCACTTGGCCACCTGGAAAACACATGAATAAACACACAAAACAACTGAATCAGTTAATCAGTTTGCATTAGCTGGAGTTCTTAACCAGTAGTCCTGAGCTAGTGGCTGTCCATGAACCCCAACGCACAATGAGACTGGCCCATGTGGATTTTCCTCTAGAGAGGTCCGGGTTTTATTACATTTGGGGTCCAAAAAGGCTATAAAGTCGCTTCTCTTGGAGAGAGACCTATTCCAGCAGCCCACACCTCTGGTTCCTGCCGGAATTCCGTCCTCACTAGTGCCGGCACCGAGGTGTTTCTCGACCCCCACCAGACCCGCCGCTGTTCCCCGCGCCCCACCTTTCGGCCGCTACTCCGTTCCGGGACGTCCTTCTTCCACCTGCGGCTCCGAAGCCGGAGCCAAGCCCGGGACAGCGCTGGGCCCCTGCCCCCAGCCCTGGTGCCAGCGCGGGCGCAGGTCAGGGGCCGGGCCACGGGATTCCTCCCTCGCCGCCTCGGGCCACGCGTCCCGGCTTTTTCTGCGGGAGAAACTCTCAGAGTCGCTCTCCCAGAGCCGGCAGGAGCGGCGAGGCTGCCGGGCGGCGGCACCCGCGGCGAAATCCGACCGAGCTGCGCCGAGTCTTGCGGCTGCACCGGGACCTGCGGCGTCGCGGCGGCTGCGTTGATCCAGGCAAAAGGTCCTGCGCTCGGACTCGGACGTGGGCTCCGCCAGAACCGCATCCAGTGCCCAGCACCAGCCCTGCGGCTCCCGCTCGCACTCGGTGTCAAAGCCAAAGTCCTGGCGGCGCAGCCCGCGCCTCCGCCCGCGCCACGGCCACGCCTCCTCCCGCCCCGCAACTCCTCCCCGGGACTCCCGAGGGCACGTGGGGGCGGGGCCAGAGCGCCAGGCGGAGGCCGAGAGAGCGGAACCCGAGAGTGCGGGGGCGGGGCCCTGGAGTGGGAGAGGAGGGGCTCTGAGGGCGAGGGCGGAGCCCGCGAGCACGGAGGCGGGGCCACGGAGCGCGGGGGGCGGGCCCGAGCGCTTGGGGGTGGAGATGGAAGACCGGAGCTCGGAGGCGGAGCTATGGCTGGAGGGGGCGGTCCTTAGGAGCTCGGAGGAGGGATTTAGGGACTGAGGGGGGCGGGGCCGACGCCCAGGCGGCGGCGGCTGGCTACATGTGGACTGTCCTCACGTCCTCTGGTCCTGAGCCGGGATTGCTACCTAGCACCCAGGGCTGGTTGGAGGCTCATTAGTCTCGCCCGAGGCAAGACCTGCCCCGCTGCCTTTTGGCGGGCCGAGCCCCAAAGCGAAGAGGGGAACTCAGGGACGTGGACACTACCCGACCGCCAGCTGGGCCAAGGCACTCATTGGATGGGAGGCACCCCTGAGGGTCAGGGGCCTCGCTCAGTTCTGCAGTCAAGTCTGAGAACCTTCGAAACTGGACTGAGATCTTTTTAACTTCTGCCATCCACTTTCGGCCTCCTCTTTTGTTCCACTAGAGCATTACCTTTGCACTGCTCACACAGAGATGTCCTCAAACTATGCTAGTAAACTATACTATGCTGCTAGGAGAGGGCACACACCGCCCCTTAGAGATGTGTTCACATAAGTCACTTATAGGGTTGCTCATTTGCACATTTAGCACTCTGAGTAAATATGGATACGTTTCTTTAAGTGTTAAATCTAGTCATTAAGAAGAAAGGAAATGCTAGTTGGAAATGGAAGCTGCTTCCCAAAATTCAAAAGTTTTTGGATCATGCCACTAAATGACAATTTAGTTAAAGATTATAGAGCCTGCGACATTACAATACATACATGGAGCTAGAGTATTGAATTAAACAAACCATGTGGTGATACCATTAAGTACTTTGACCCACGGCATTTAGTGTCCCCTGAAGTTTCATCCCTAGCCAATGTGACCAGTGACTAGTTCCAGGGTTAGGTCAGCAAAAAAACAGTAGCTCTCTGGGAAGGCAGAAGGTACTTCAGATGTGAAATGAGAGGCAGCCAAAGCTTTGGCAAAATGCTACCAAAAAAATGCCTTTTTGAGGCACGGTCCCCTACTGGGCATACTAGTCAGGACTCTTAATTGCAAGTGGCAGAAATCCAAGTCAAAGTAGCTTAAACAAAAATGGGGAAATTTCAGATTCTTGTGCAGAAAAGTTAAACAGTAGCTCTTACCTCAAGCATGGCTGCATCCAGCTCAAATGATGTCGTGAGGACCTGACCCCCTCCATCAATCCCTTCCACTTGACCTCCCACCCCAGTATCACATTACATTGTGCCCCTCCCTTTCTCCTGAAATCCTTTTGGAGTAAGAAAAAAAACTGTGTTTAAGAAAAACAGAAAAATCCCTTTTAGGAGAGAGAAAACTCTTTGTGGAGCAGAATGCCTAGCTGGGCATTTGTGGCAGTGGATGGATAGCCTGGGGGTATGGCAAGTTGAATTAGAAATAAGAGCAACCACATATTGTCCAAACCAGGACATTTTGGAGGGTAAGAAGGTCACTATTAACTTCACTGGCACAACAGGTATAATCGGGTCTTACTCCCTGTAAACCTAAGCATATGTTTCCCCTTGGTAGAAATGAAGCCAACGGGTACCTAAACTGCTGTGCATTAAAACAAACAAAGCCCCATAAAATGGCTAAATTTAAAATGACTGAACATTTGTCGAGGATGTGGAGCAATTAAAACTCTCATTCATTGCTGGTGGGGAGTATAAGATGTTACAAACACTTTGGAAATCAGCTTAGCAGTTTCTTAAAAAGTTAAACATATATTCACCATATGACCCAACCATTCCATTCCTACCGATTTACCAAAGAGAAATGAAACTTGAAGAGTCGCACATGGATGTTCCTAGGAGCTTTCTTTGCTATAACCAAAATCCAGAAACAACCCATATCCACCAGTAGAGAGAGAATGGACAAATTGTGATATATCCATACAATGGAATGCAACTCAGCAATAAAGACACACCATTAATACACACAAT